GTTGCAGTAAGCCATGATCATGCTGCTGTGTTCCAGCCTAGGTGATAGATAAGTGAGACCCTGTCTCAAAAACAAACAAACAAAAAAGAAATCTAAACTAAAAGAATGCTAAAGATTTTTTTTTTTTTGACTTACAAAACTGGCAAAATTGAAAAGATTGATAATACCTAACATAGGTGAGAGTATTTGGTACCCATGTTGCTAGTGAGAGTCTGAAAATGTGAATACCTTTTGATCCAATAGTTTTATTGGTAGTAACATATTTTGTGGATATAATTGAACAGCTGTACAGGGATACACATTATTATTTTTCAAATTATAAATAATCTGTACTTCCATCGGTAAGTTAGTAGTCAAATGAATTATAGGCTATTGAAATATTAGGTATCCATAAAAATATTAAACATACATTGTGTGTATATATATATTAATCTTCACTAAAGTATAATAAACTGGTTGTCTTTGAGGTAGGACAATAGGTGATTTTGACTTTTTAAAATTTATTTATTTTTGTCATTCTGTCCGCCAGGCTGGAGTGCTGTGGCGTAATCTCAGCTCACTGCCACCTCCGCCTCCTGGGTTCAAGTGATTCTCATGCCTTAGCCTCCCAAGTGGCTGGGATTACAGGCGCCCACCACCATGTCCAGCTAATTTGTGTGTGTGTGTGTGTGTGTGTGTGTGTGTGTGTGTCTGTGTCTGTGTATTTTTTTGAGACAGAGTCTCATTGTGTTGCCCAGTGCAGTGGTGTGATCTTGGCTCACTGCAGCCACCGCCTCCCGGGTTCAAGTGATTCTCCCACTTCAGCCTCCTGAGTAGCTGGGACTACAGTTGTGTGCCACCATGCCGGGCTAATTTTTTGTGTTTTTGGTAGAGATGGGGTTTCACAGTGTTAGCCAGCATGACCTTGATCTCCTGACCTCATGATCTGCCTGCCTCAGCCTCGCAAAGTGCTGGTATTATAGGTGTGAGCCACCGCACCTGGCCAATTTTTGTAGTTTTATTAGAGACAGGGTTTTGCCATGTTGGCCAGACTGGTCTTGAACTCCTGACCTCAGGTGATCTACCCACCTTGGCCTCCCAAAGTGCTGGGATTACAGGTGTAAGCCACTGCGCCCAGCCAATTTTGACTTTTAAAAAATAGTATTGCTATATTCTGTTGTATTATCTAACATCATTTAATAATTTGCATGCTTTCCCTCCTATAATCAAAGAGAATAATAAACCTATTTTAATTTTGAAGAAATTATAGTGGATTTTTTTTTAGTATAATTTTTTTTTAGAAAGGACTTAAAATCTTTTAGAAATAAGAACAAGATAATTGCCATTCTGACTGGCATGAGGTGGTATCTCATTATGGTTTTGATTTGCATTTCTCTGATGATCAGCGATGTTGAGCTTTTTAAAAATATGTGTGTGGGCCACATAAATGTCCTCTTTTGAGAAGTGTCTGTTCATGTTCTTTGCTGTTGCATGTGGGCTTAATACCTAGGTGATGTGTATTAAGCCCTGCAACAAACCATCATGGCACATATTTACCTATGTAACAAACCTGGATGTCCTGCACATGTATCCTGGAACTTAAATTTTTAAAAAAGAATAAGATAAAAGAAATGTTTATAAATAATGGTGGAGGCTTGAGTTGAAATTTGAAAGCTAAAATAAATATATAAATGGTGGAAATGGACTTTGGGCAAGTTACTTAACTGTTCCAAGCCATCATTTTCTGTCACATATCATATGTAGGGTTGATGAGAGAATTAAATGAAACAATGTATATATAAAGTGCTAGTTACATTCCCCACATGTGGTAGCTCTTCTGTTACAATTGTCATTGCCAAAATAGGAAGATAGAGATGTTAGGTAACAAATTTGAAAGGGAATACTGTACAACAAATATATGTGAGAAGGTGGTTATCTTTCTAAAGTTTCTTTCAAATACCTGTTACCATCAGTATTCCAGATAAACTCTTTCCAGATACTCCTGTAACTAACCTTTCTTGTTTAGCCAGTTTGCAAACCATTCAGGCTGTCCTGTCTTTCTCCATTCTGTCAAGCTCTGTACCAGGAAAAGGGCTTTCTCTAGATCCAGTGTCCGTTAAAGACAAAGGATGGCAAGACTAGAACTTTTTCTCAGAATAGACTAATTGGAGTTGGGCCACTAACTGACAGACACATCAACCTTAATACAGAGGTCATAAAGATTCCTCAGAAAGATTACATAGTGAAATGTTGGAGACCTGCTGTTTTAGTATAAGAGCTTCTAAATACGGGATTAACTTGTATTAGTGCCTGTAACTTAACAAACTAAGAGCCTCCTACTAAATGGTCCTGGAAATTATCTTATTAATGCTCTTTGTCCTATGGTTACTTATGCTAGTCCCTGACCTTTACATAGTTTCACTGTGCAATTAAATTTCTGGAAAGAAAAATCATGTGTTCTCCATTAATTTGCTTGCATTTTCAGAATACATTAAGATGGCAGATCACTATGTGCCAGTGCCTGGAGGACCAAACAACAACAACTATGCAAATGTGGAGTTAATTCTTGATATTGCTAAAAGGATCCCAGTACAAGTAAGAGATGCCAATGTGTCCTTTAAAACCAAATTCAGCCATTTTATTGTTAGGCACATGGGGATATCCAGAGAAGAACATTTTTACAAAGCATCTTTTTTGAAAATTATTAAATGTCTGTATATGGGATAAGTAAACCACATAAGGAAAAGATGGAAATAATGGAATGACTAAAAAGAAAGTAAACCTAATACAAACAGAAGTTTTGGAATGGTCTTTCAGAGATTGTTTATTCTGGGTATGTCACCTTCAAGCCATCCCAGGTAAGTAAAAGTTACCTATTTCTTGTGGAATATTAGCCTAAATGATGGTTGTATATTAAAGAAGTAGGCTGTTTCTTCCCTGTCACGTTGTGTTAGTAAGTTTAGGGTAGGTACCTTAAAGCCCAAAGAGGAAAAACTCTAAACTTAAATGGCAGTGTAGTCAATAAAGATGTAATGGAATGGACAAAGTAATTGAATATGTGAAAGATAGCCAGTATTTCTAGAAAACGCCCTGTATAGCCTAGGTTATGAATTGAGTTTCCTAAAGAGCAACAAAAATAACTGCATCTTAATATCAATTTCAGCTTGGTTTTGACCCTCTCAGATATCTTGCCACAATGGACTACTTACTGTTACTCTATAAAAAGTTTGCCAACAATCAAGCATAGAAGCTGAATTAAGCATTAGGCTGCTGTGAAACTATTGTACCTCATGAAATAGGGTCAGCCTGAATAGGGAGTCATGCAGTTTGTGAGGGTTTTGTATGAATTTTAAGAATGAATTATATTGTATTCCCTTGCAGGCAGTGTGGGCTGGCTGGGGTCATGCTTCTGAGAATCCCAAGCTACCAGAACTTCTCTTGAAAAATGGCATTGCCTTCATGGGTAAGCTTGTCTGACATACTGTTCCTGTCTTTCTGTTTCTTTTTGTCAGTTTTGCCCACACTTGACTCTGTAGTCTGATTTTCTTCTGTTTAACATGTGCTGGACTCTCTCTCTTTTTTTTTTCTCAATTACTAACAGAGTAGCCCTCTTCATTTCTTGCGTTTTTTCATTTCTTATACCTTGCTTGTCTCACTTCTTCTTGATTTTGTTTTCTGTCCCTGAGTCCTTTCTCAGGAGGTATGGAGAAGGCTTTGGTTTCCAAAACACTGACCTTTTAAAACTTTGCAACTAACCTTAAGAAAGCATGCAGGAAAAGAACATGTTTTTAGATAGAGAAGATAATTGAATACTCAGGATGCCCTGGCAGTGTGCCCTTAAATATGAATCAGCACCTTTGCATTTAAGCATATAGGTTATACTCCTACTGGTGAGAGAGACTTCTTCTGACTTTCTGCTGTCATTATGGCAGAGAGAAAAACAGGTTATATAGCTTGAAGTATTTCTCTGTGTCACAATAAGGAGTATGTTTTATAAACCTTGTTAAAGATGATTCTCCTTTCTGAGTTCCCCTAAGACCAAGGAAGGTATAATATTTCAGACTTGAATCCTAAAGCTTTGTAGTCCTTATTTCAGGATATTGACTTAAGAGAAAAAAAAAAAAGAAGACTTTATTCATCTGGTATAGTTGGATCATGAAGAATGACAAAATTATAGCTAGATTTGTCAAGAATTTAATTCAACATATATTTATTGAGCTCTCTGCATCAAAAGCTTACTGCATTAGGTTTTATAGATGATACAAAGATAAGTCAGAACATAATAGTGCCCATAATCAATTTATTTATTTATTTATTTTTTATGTTGTACATTTTTATTACATTTACTTTTGAAAGATAGTTATACAAGAAGAAAGGTTGCTTTTCAGGAAAATATAGAAATCTGATGTAAAATGCAAATTTATGTTGCAGGATACTTCATGAATCCAAGTGGTTTCAATTTTAAAATTACATCAACAGTAGTTGTTTATTACTAGTTGGAAATTCCAGGGCACACAAATGAATGTCCAATTTGTAGAATCAGTTGACTCTCCATGACATGGCTACCACTGTTTAGTAGATATATATGTGTGTGTGTGTGTGTGTGTATATTTACATATATTAGATATTATATGTGTGTGTGTGTGTGTGTGTGTATATATATATTTTTTTTTTTTGAGACGGAATCTCGTTCTGTCACCCAGGCTAGAGTACAGTGGCATGGTATCAGCTCACTGCAACCTCCACCTCCTGGATTCAAGTTGATTCTCCTGCCTCAGCCTCCTGGGTAGCTATGATTACAGGTGCATGCCACCACACCTGGCTAATTTTTGTATTTTTAGCAGAGACGGGGTTTCACCCTGTTGGTCAGGCTGGTCTTGAACTCCTGACCTCGTGATCCGCCCACTTTGGCCTCCCAACGTGCTGGGACTACAGGAGTGAGCCTCCATACCTGGCCTAGTAGATAATTTAAAATAGAAAACTAATTACTGAAAAGATCAAATAAAGTTCCAAATTTGTAGTGGGTAGTGAGGTACGTCTTTTGAATTTTATTCCAGCTGTTTGGAGCAGAAGAAAATAATTGATCATGTCCTTTCTTATTTTCTTGTTCCCTGATCCTTTCCACTTTTGTTCTTTAACAGCAACACTCATTCAATTATTTTGGTAAATTATTTCCAGGTAAGACAACAAAAATTTTATGAAAAGTAACACCAGGAATAGGTTTTGTATAGAAGCTTTTCCTTTTAAACACTGCTCTTTGGTTATAGGCTAAGAATTATTATTGAAATTGACAGCAATAAGTTTTAAGCCAAAAGTGTATATTTTAACTAAATGTTCCAGATCACACAGTAAATATCCAAGTGAGTAACTGGTAAGAAATAAGGTGAATGAGTTCAATATTCAAAAGATGTCTGCATATTAATAGTAGCCTTCAAAGTAATTCTGATATTCATATTTATTATTTATTACATATTAGTTACTGGAGCTTTACTTGGAATACATCCACACGAAAAACAAGTTATTTATTAAATTTTCCTTTCTTAGCAATAGCCTCTAAAGTTGCAGGTCCACCCCAAACTGTTCCTAAAAGATCTCTTTCATTCTGTAATGCTTCCTCCAAATATAGCTCTCTGCCTGAAGAAACAGATTTCTTCAAAGCTCTAATTACTTCTGGTGGCCCTTGGATAAATTGCCTTAGCCATTCTTGTGCCTCTTCTAGAGATTTAGCTTCATCTGAAGACTGCAAGACCTCTTCAACCATTCCTATGTTTAGAGCGTTTTTTGAATCCAGTTTAAGGGCCCCACTCAACACTTTGAGAGCTTGTCTACTTCCGATTATTTCAACTAGCCGAGTGGTGCCACCCCAGCTTGGTATTATGCCCATCTCTTTGTGAACAAATCTGATCTTACTCTCTGGAGTCATTAACCAAATTCAGCGGTCCAGATTTCCCCAAATGCTCGTTCCTCCTCGGTATTCAGCCACTGGGTGGATCCGCACTGCAGGGCCTCCCTGCTCTGCTCTGGTGAGGCTTTTCTACCAGGCAAATACCTGCCCAGGAGCGCTCTCAGGATGCGTCACCCCAGCAAGCAGGAGTCCCCCTGCAGGGATGCTCCACAGGGCTAGGCAAACCACCTAAGAGAATTTTTCCCACCGTCTGCTACCGGAGACTTGCTTCCCGGCCAATGCACCAAAAATGTAGCAGGAGCGGCCTTGGGAAACAGATCTCTTGGACACTGAATACAGGAGGAAGGAGTTTATTCGGCGGGGACCAGGGTGGCATAGTTGCCTAACAGCCAAGCTCCCCTAACAAAAAAAAGCCATAATCAATTTATGATCTCCTTGATATGTGAGGGTTGGGGGGAGGACAAGACAAATAAATACATAAATAGCTATAATACAAGACAACTAGGTGTGCCAGAAATAAGTCCAAGGTGTTACAGTCAGGATTCTTTTCCTGTTTTGTTTTTAGGTCCTCCAAGCCAGGCCATGTGGGCTTTAGGGGATAAGATTGCATCTTCCATAGTGGCTCAAACTGCAGGTATCCCAACTCTTCCCTGGAGTGGCAGTGGTAAGAACCGAATTCTTGTTTGTATCTTGAAGTTCATAATAGCTCAATAGGGTATTTGGGACTTAACTTTTTTGAAAAAGTATTGGGATACTTGACAAGAAATGGAATGCTGGTTGAGTAATGGTACCTTGTCTCTCTTGGCTTAATTAATACACCTGTGATTCTTTTATCTTAGGAATATAAATTTAGTTCGAGGGACACAGATGCTAAATTGTGATCTGGAATGATCTTGTGAGTTAACTTGGAGAAACTCTGGGAAAACACATACATGGTTTTGTGGGTTTAGATGTGTTCTGGGTAGGCTAGAATCTTCCTCAGCGATAGGCTTCACTGGTGGAATTAGGTCTTCGGATCTGCCTGGGAGTAGCCTGGATCACTAGGAAAAACCTAAAACCCACTTACTCAAATGTTTACTTGCCAGTGTTTTCTTGATATCAACCCACAATCTGTTGACGATTTGCTTTGACTGTTTAAAACCATTCAACCTCTGTTGCCCTTGATGCAGAAAATGAGGCCAGCAATTAACTTTTCTTCTAGGCATGCCAGAGGGGCAAGAATTTTCAAAAAATGATTTATTCTCAACCACTCCCTTAAAGAGTTCCATGTGAGTTATTATAGCTGATAACAATACGAACTTTTTTTTTTTTTTCCCAGTACTCAAGCACTGGGAGCAGACATACACTAAAACCTCTTTTAAATGGGAATGACCATTGTCTTGAGGCTGAACAGATTTGAGCCCTTGTTAACTCTGGCTCTCCAGGGAGATCGCAATATCCTCTCCAGATCTGCTGGGTCAAATAGTTTAAAATAAAAGGTTGAATTTGTTCTTGTTTGAATGGAGAGGCTATAGCGTTCCTCTTGTGGCTGAGTACAGGGACATTCAGAGAGCATGGAATCATGACTCTGCTGAGGCCGATAAAACCGCCGTTTCTATTTCCAAGGGCTCATAAAGATTGAATTATTTCCTAGACCTCTTGGCCCTGGAGCAGGCCTGAACACACAGTTTGAAGGTATTTTGCCTGCTGAGTTGCTGTGAGAAGTATGCCATGCTCTTTTTTGTTTGTTTGTTTTGGTCTTGTATGTCTTTGCATTTTTATAAATTGCTCCCTGTTCGCTCGCCTGGCTTCTGCCAGCGTAAGAACCCAAGTTGCCAGGTCATGCTATGGCTAAATCCTGCTAACCCCAAGAACTGATCAGGGTTTATATGGCATCTTTCTTTCTCTCATCCACTCTCAGATTTGGATAAATATGATAGCAGGGCAGAAAATTGACAAGAGCAGAAGCTCTTGTAGCTGCCCTAAGTTGCTGTTGTCTATTGCAGGTCTTCGTGTGGACTGGCATGAAAATGATTTTTCAAAACGTATCTTAAATGTTCCCCAGGAGCTATATGAAAAAGGTTACGTGAAAGATGTGGATGATGGGCTACAGGTAGGTTACTAACTCCAGGGAGTCATACCTTTCAACTGACCAATTATAGTCGCAAATGTGGAGATTGGGAGCCTGGCTCATGATATATACCCAGAGTGGTGTTAGGGATGTAAGATCTGGAGGTGTAGTTTAAAGGTATAGAATACTCTGGTTTCTCTTTAGATTGCATACGTCTTTTGCGTTTTAAAAAGTATAGATTGAGGAAGTGATTTTAAATGTAAACAATCTAAATTTTGAAGCAGGCTGCTCATCTGAACAGAACATTTCTTAGGTGATTAAGTCAGACTTTTAAGGAGGTGCTGATTCTCCCTCCCTCTGTTAGTGTGGGAGGGCAGGGACAACAAACAATCACACTTTGTCCACTGCTTGAATTCAGAACCAAGAAGCCAGGAGGCAGAGATCAAACAGTCAGCTTTATTACAAGCAGAGATGTTGGTGAAAATGGCTTAAGTGTGTAGCAACAATCAGATTTGTAAACTGAACACCGGAGTTAAGCAGGCTCACTCACCTACTGGTTACTGGCAGTGCTGAATGACCACAGACTTCCCTCTACAGAGAGAGAGCTTATTTCAGCTTAGTGTATGGCTGAGAGCTGACAAAGAGCATATGTTTTGTGCAGTGGGCTGATCCCACAGGAGAAGAGACTGAGCTATGCATGTTCAGTCCCTTCTTCCAAATTGACCAATCACATAATTTATTATTTTTCCCTTTGAGAGGAGTAAGGGAGTGAGCTGAGAAGGACTGAAAGGGTGACTCTTAATTATTGTCCAGCCATATAGAAACGTGAACCTAGGCAAAAGGAGATCCTTTCCCCAGCATTACCTTTTTTTTCCTTATAGTTCCCTCCAATTTGTTCCCCTTTCACTTTTATAAATAGTATAAAGTGTTGGTTATGCCTCCAGGTATAATGAAAGATAATGAAAGAGGCTATTGTAGAAAAATACACTGCTTGAGTTCGACTTGTGTGGTATAAATTCAAGAGGGATGCTGAATGTTCAAATAATTTTGCTATACTGTTTGCATTTTAAGTTAAACATCTTATAATCTCCTTAATAAGAATTAATATTTTAATTGATTTGCAAATGCTTAATTTTGTTTGCTATAATTTGCCAAAGAGTAGAAGCTTAAGGAACTATTCTAGCTATTTTGCTTATCAACTGATATCCTTTTTTTTTTTTCTGGTTATAAACAGGATTTCCTGGTAGAAAAATTTGAAAAGCCAAAGATGATGATAAAGCCATATGTAAACACACCATTCAAAGATAATACTTATTAACAGATTCATATTTTTTTCATCCTTTTTCAAACTCGTAGATTTATATTGTATAAAAATCTTTATTAATAGATTCCTATACTTAAAAGTATGATACTTAAAAATTTTGGGTCTTACTATATGTATTATTTGGTAATCGTAATACTTTTTTCTACTTAGTATTTTTTGTTCTTCCATCTCTCTGTTCCTTACTTAATATTATATTAAAGTGTTAAAATTCTTCCAAATATTTTTAATGGGCGACCTGTGACTAAATCTTTCATATATGTGTATATAATTATTATTATTTTTTGAGACAGAGTCTCACTCTGTCGCTAGGCTGGAGTGCAGTGGCGTGATCTTCAGCTCACTGCAACCTCTGCCTTCTGGGTTCAACCAATTCTCCTGCCTCAGCCTCCTGAGTAGCTGAGACTACAGGTACACATCACCATGCCCAGCTAATTTTTGTATTTTTAGTAGAGATGGGGTTTCACCATGTTGATCAGGATGGTCTCGTTCTCTTGACCTCGTGATCTGCCCATCTCGGCCTCCCAAAGTGCTGGGATTATAGGCTGAGCCACCGTGCCCAGCCCGCTTTCATATATTTTTAAAAGGCCTACCTTCTTACTGACCTCCTGTGGGATACCCTTTTTTTTTTTTCAAGTCTTTCATCACACTTGTACTATCTCTTTGATCATCTATCACTCAGCAATTGAGTTCATCATACTAATGATGTTTATGTAAGCATAGAAAAGGGTAGAGATAAGGAAACACTAGAAGAGGTGAGACTGCGAGTGAAAGATTTTCATTCCTAATTGAGTGATATAGGTTAAAAATTGAAATCTTCTTTTTTCTGAGTGATACTTTTTTTTCGAGTTGGAGTCTCACTCTGTTGCCCAGGCTGGAGTGCAGTGGTGCCATCTTGGCTCACTGCAACCTCCACTTTCCAGGTTCAAGTGATTTCCTGCCCCAGCCTCCCAAGTAGCTGGGATTATAGGTGCCCACCACCATGCCTAGCTAATTTTTGTATTTTTAGTAGAGACAGAGTTTCACCAAGTTTGCCTGGCTGGTGTCAAACTCCTGAGTGATCCACCCACCTTGACCTCCCAGAGTGCTAGGATTACACTGAGGCACCGTGCCAGGCCTGCTGATACATTTTAAAGATATAATGTAGCAAAACCTTAAAAGACTGGAATATTTTGACAAAGGAATGACTTGGTTATTTTATTTATTTAGTTAGTTAGTTAGCTTTGAGAGGGAGTCTTGCTCTGTCACCCAGGCTGGAATGCAATGTTGCAATCTCAGCTCATTGCAACCTCTGCCTCCCAGATTCAAGCCATTCTTCTGCCTCAGCTTCCAGAGTAGCTGGGATTACAGACATGTGCCACCATGCCCGGCTAATTTTTGTATTTTTAGTAGAGGTGGGGTTTTGCCATGTTGGCCAGGCTGGTCTTGAACTCCTGACCTCAGGTAATTCGCCTGCCTTGGCCTCCCAAAGTGTTGGGATTACAGGCGTGAGCCACCGCACCCAGCCTTATTTTGTTTTAATATTTTTTGAGACAGAGTCTCACTTTGTTGCCCAAGCTGGAATGCAGTGGCACGATCTTGGCTCATTGCAACTTCTGCCTCCCGGATTCAAGCAATTGTCGTGCCTCAGCCTCCCAAGTACCTGGGGTTACAGGCATGTGCCACCATGCCT